TAATGGGGGAGTAGGTCTTCCCAATTTTTAAAGTTTGCCGAGGTTGATAAACACGGCTCCACAGTATTCCAGATGTAGCCTCATGCCAGGGTATTGTGGAGGGCACGTGTTAGCCACTATAAAAGAGAGAAAAATATGTCTTAAGTCTGTGCAATGCACGCATTTTTTCCTGAAGGTGTATCTGAGTATAAAAATGTGCCTTTTGGGTGCTAATGTATGTTTGGCATGTCTTACTGCTTTTTTTCTTTTTGTTAAAAAGGCAAAAGATGACGCTGTTGTTGTGACCTGTTTAGGCCTGCATAAAGCCTGTCTGTTTCCAGCCTGCCTATTAAAATCAGGGATCTATAACAAAATGGAGAAATAGCCATTATTTTCCTCCTTTAACTTTTCAGATTTGAGTTCAACATCTTTGGAAAAGACGACGTGTAAGCAAATTGCAAGATAAAAATCTGTCAATGTCTTTTCCTGTGATTGTATTTCAGAATATCGTTAAATCTTTAATTTGTTGTTGCCTGTTTAGAGGAGCAAAATAAATGGTATACCAATTAAAGAGAGCCAACATAGCCAGTTAAGTTGGTGGACTCGGAGTGGGAAGGCCCAGGTTCTAGTCCTCCCTCAGTCAGAGAAGCCAGCTGCGTGACCTTGGACTATCATTCCCTCTCAGTTCACATCAGCATCAGGCTGTGCGACAAGACAGCTGATAAACAAAACCCCTCATGGCATCGTGCATTGTTAAACTTTGCTGTAATAATTAGGTGAATGCAGTGCAGAAACAAGGGGACCCTGCAACTATGCAGGATTAATGCTAAGAAAAGTGACAAAATATTAACACTCCATAAAAAAAGTCTCTGCTATACGTATTTGGTTAGAAGGATCTTAATGCAATGCTGTTAATTAGCATAAAGCAACCATCCTGTTTATTTAAGGACTGTCTATGCCAGCTGTAGTTGGTATTAAGTTTAAATTGCATTCATGAGGATAGTGGGATGGGAAGATAATTTTGGAGTACTGAATCATTACAAGATGCTTATAGCCAAACTGAATGGATATTAGGGAAGAGAAAGTAATTAACTTGACGGGTAGTAATAGGGAAGATTCCAGATCCTGTGGGAGAACGTTGGAAGGATGCCTTGCGTATTTTTGTCAACGTAGCTGGATACAGTTGGGATTTCCTCTTGGTCCATTTTCCTGGAGTTGGCGTTAGATGCTGCAAATTGTCTGGAGCGATCTGTATTCCCAACACCAGCCAGTTGATCTTGCTGAGCTTCTTTTTCAAGATTAGTAAGGAACTCCTTTAAAACTTGCTTGAATGTATAAACAATTTCCCAGGGTAAAACATCATTTTCTGCTAGAACCTCTCGAAATCTAGAAAAGGAAAGAGAAGGAAGAAAGAAGAGGCAAATAGCCTGAATTCTATTAGCATGTCTTCTTCTTGTCTGTTTAAAAAAATAAAGGGGGGAAGATACTCTATCCTTTTTAGCATTGCCTTCTAAAGAAGAAAAAACAAGGAATGGGAAAGAATTATGCTTGCGGTACAAACAGCTGAAGCATTTTTTTCTATGTTAAGTTGTCCAAGCAAGTTGATTCAAACTGACATTTCCCTGGAGCCCTTTTCTAGGATCAGAGAGAAAACACTGAGTGGTTCTGGGTTTTGTTTTGTTTTAAATTCCATATGCTGTCTGTATGGGTGAGTTTATATATAAAGAATATTGAATGGAGAATTGTTGAGAAACTTGTTTTGTGACCAAAACGGTCTTATCCTTATTAAAATTGCATGAAACAAATGTGAGTCAGGGTCACCAGTTTATAATGACAGTCATACCATGCAGATTTTAAAGCTGGGCACAGGATAAAAATATAGCTTATGAATATGGTGAGAAATGTGTAGCGAAAGGACTAAACAAACTAGCTTTCGAAATAATAAAGAGGTTTGAATATGTAGTAAGCATTTGAGTGACATGTGTTAAATTATTACATTTAATTATTTTGCTGAGCCCAGCATTAAAGACTGTAAAGAGCTGAAGATGAATTCTTCTATTACATTTTGGGGGCCAATAAATCTTAGAAGCTCCTTCACTGCATGCGATTCAGTAGAACAAATGAAATCCTAGCAATGCTTTGTGAGATGGCACAACCAACTCAGAGAGACTTATGAATAAGGTGGTGTGTGTGTTGCCAGAAAGTAAGTTTCTTTGAACTCACTCCCAAGAATTATTCTGTTAGTCTGAAGCATGCTAATTTGGAATTAATTTGAAGCCGTTTTCTTTTAGGTATAACATTTAACATAAAGCTGCAAAGATGGGATCCCTTTTCTCCTTTCCTGAAGCTTACGTGATGCTACTTTGATAAAATAGATTTACCTGCTGAGTATGATTCCAGTTTGACATGGTTGGATTTGAGAGCAAAGAGCTTCAAGCTGTCGTTGTTCAGTGGCTGGGATAGTCATTTGAAGATTTTGGTAGCTCTTTATCCCACTGTAATCACTGTCAGCTTTCTGAACTTTATGTCCATTTTCAATCTCCTGTATCAGCCGTTCACGTTCTTTCAAATGCCATTTTAGTTCTCTCAGAAGTGTCTTTGTCACAACTTCTGAGCCAGGGTATTGTCCGTTTCTGTAAGAATAACTTTTTGGCCATTTCATCCAGCCAAAGAATGGCATTTTGATAACTAATTAAAAAACAGAAACAAAAGGAGACACACACATACTGATGCTAAAAGGTAAGTTGAAATTCGGTCCTCGGGGATTTCTTGCTTAATTTTGATAGTTAAATGTTGTAATTTTTACCCATTTTTCACATAGCCAGGCAGTTTTAAACTGCAAATCCATCCATGTTTAAATGGGAGTAAGGCCAGTTGAACTCAGTGGATCTTAATTCTGACTACCTATGCATAGGATTGTGCTGTCACTAACAGTGCAATCAAAATTCATAATTTCCCTCCCTGATTCTTAATATATTCTATTTTAGCTGTATTCTGTTCTATTCTGTCCTGGGTATGTTCAAAATTTGTAGTACTTTTTGAAGTAACTGCCTAAGTCCATCCCAAAATAATTCAATTTTTATTTTTTTAAAAACAAAGATAATTTAAGGTATAATATTCTGTATGTGTCCAAGTATAGTTCACTCTGAACTGCAGTCTAAATGTAAGCAAAACAAAACAATTCAAAATCTAGATACCTACAAAAAAGTAACATCTAGTATAAGAAAATCTAGAGTTTAGAGGAAATACTAGTTTTTAATAACAAGATTACATATATTTACAACAGGATTTTTTATTACAAATACAACAAAGAGTCTTATGGCAGACTAACAAATTTATGCAATTGTCTTTTTATGGGGTCACAAGATTCGAGGATATTTGGAGTAGCTCTTAAGAGTTTTATATTTTTTATTTCAGCTCATCCAAAATTTTTAAATAAAATTATTCTTATACTTACCGTATTTGTAGAAAACAATCTTTTTCTTCAGTGAGGCTGTAGATGAGTTCTGCTTGATGTGGTGATTGTTTATTCCAGCATGTTCTATCTGAGACAAGTATTCTTCATTTCACCCACTTAAGAAAAGCGTGTGATAAATGCCACATATGTGATTTTCAATTATCCCAGCTTCCAAAATAACTTAATTCCTTCCAACAGGAGGGAACCAGAACCCTCTGGCATGGATTCTTCTGAAATTCTTTCCACAAAGCCCATTCAGAGTTTCTGCCTTTCCACACAGACTTTGTTTTGAGCCAGCGAGAACAGTTTTGGAAGCTCTCTATGGATGCTAAATGTATTGTCTGTAGTCATATGAATAATCGTAGTCTGAAGCCAAGCCAGATGTGCTCCTAGCTAAAGTAAAACTGTCGGTTGGATGATGTGATGCTTGGATGTGCATAGCTGTAGGTCACAATTCACTGCTGTATTTTTATGCCCTGTTGTGCTCTAAAAATAACCCAGTTGCTTTTTGTCGTTGGACTGAACTTTTGGGCAATTTTGACTGGATTTGTTGTCTGCTTCTTCGTATTAGTTTGAGGTGCAGCGACAAGAAATTATTGTGCTGCTCAGATTACCTATTCACCGTTATACTAACACATACATACAAACATACTTATACTAAAATTAACAAGACTCTGCAAGCTCATCTCAGGTAAATTTATGTCAGTTTAAGACTACCTACTAAGCAGCATACAGAGAGATTCTTAGTGTATGCTGTCTGTGGTTAAATTAATCCTTCAGTATTTGCAAAGTTCTTATTTATAGTCCACAGCTGTCAGCAAGTTTGTGAATCTTTTTCCTAATCTAATGAGTATATTTAAAGAAGCAGCTTGCTCCTCTAACATTTCAGAGAAACTATGTGAAAGTTATGGTTTTTAAAAAATAACATCCTAATGGCAAGAAGTCAGTGAACTTAGAAGTTGCCTTACATTATATAATCACAAGTCTTTCTCCATCTAGATCAGTATTGTATATCCTATGATGAGATTCATGCATTGCACTAAATTATGCTTCATTGAATGAAGTATAGTTTGCTGGGTTTACATAACATACAGCCATAAAGCAACCATAATATATGCTGCTTTGTGTATTGTCTATTTCATGTCTGTCTTTTCTATTACTGTACCTGCTAATTCACCTTTTGCACCAGAACCTAGGACATGGGAATCCTGTTAATACAAAACATTTGTTTTACCATGCAGTTGAGGTCCTGCCAATAATTTAGATTTCAGCTCTGTTGAGAAAAAATATTCATACCTGATCCTAGATTTTCCTTACATATTTGAATATACCTTCTCTCTTAGTTTGCCTTCGCTTGATTCAGATTGGGGAGAGGATTGAGGAAGTAATTTCCACTTTAATATTTGTTATCTTTTCTTAGCACAAAAGCATCAAGCAGCCATTTTGCCATTCCCCTTATTGGATTTCTTGCTATAAATATGAAGAACAAATATGGAATACATCTTAATTCATTCTTTCTCCTGATGTAATTTTCAGTAGAAATAGTCTCTTTTTGTAAGAACTGGTCTCACCTGGTTAATCCCCTTTTCAAAAATGTTGAATTGAACGGTTGTAGAAGAATAGTTCTGCAAATCTGGTCTAGATGTCACTGTATATAAAGGGTGACATCTGTGGCTGTTATTAAAGCTGATATTGCTTATATGTTGGAAAAATTCAAATGCCAGTACTAATCATCCTCAATTGGAAGGTTTTCACATTGCATTGTATGTGGTGCTAAAAAGTGGGGAAAGTAGTTGGATGTAGAATGACAGGATGCCTTTGCAAATTTTCAGACAAAATTAAAATGTTCTTTGCCGGCATAGTTGCCAGGTTAATACACTCTTTTATTGTGAAAGCTAAATAGTGGTGATAAGTTGCATTAGAAAAAAGAACATACTTTAGATAATGTGACCCACTCTGCAGAAGAATCAAGAAAGTAAAATTCTGCAGGATTAAGGATTCAGCAAACAATCTGTTGGAGATGCTAGATTGCTTAAACAGTATGGACAGAAAATGATATATATTTTAAAAGTCCAATATTCCATCCTCAGAGCCCATGTAAATAGAGTAATGGAGTTGTGTGTCTGGAAATCAAGTAAGAGATTACTTCATAAGATTTAATGTGTTTTCATAAGTATACTTTTTCAATGGGAAACTTAAAAATTCTTCCTCAAGTCTGTGGGCAGGAAGGTATCAAACAGGCCTTATATTTACTAAATATATAATGTAAGAATGGCCAGTTTTACTCATCATACTGAGCCAGTGTTCTCCAACTCAGATAATGTTGCATTAGCTCGAGGGGTGCAGTTGGTTTTATATATTGGTAGAAACATCTGTAGTGAATGAGAAATGAAGAAAAAAGCGTATCAGGCTGCGTCACTAAGTATACCATTTATTTTTTAAAATACTATGAAGCAGCTACTTTTTCACCATTTCATTAAGCAGATTACCAATATTGGTTGTTTTGAATAACAATATGGACTCCTTGTAACTAATCACCTTGTGAGGATAAATATACAGGAAGTTGTGGTTGTGTGAGGTCCTCGCTTAATGATGGCAACCGGGACTGCTGTTGCTAAGCAACACAGTAATGTGACACCACACTTTACGACCACGTTGCTTAGCCATTGTAAGCTGAGGACTACCTGTAGGGTTTTCTCCATTTTCTCTAAGCGGACAGGTCACACACAAGGAAATCAAGGTAATAAATCAGCACATATCACAGTATTTTAGGCTGAGGAAGTGATCAGTTGGTGTTTTAAAAGACTGTATAGAGAACAAAGTGCCTGGTATGTACAAAAATGGTAAAGTTTAACCATATAAGGGAAAAGCATACCTTAAACCAAGAGAAATGGACACATTGTGTTATGCATGACTGTAAGTACTGTAACCATCATGATATTGGTATCTGTTCCTGCTGAATAAATGTTTCTATTTACCTGTTGGCCTTCTCTCCTCTTTGGATGTGAGTCATCATCATCCCACAACAGTTGAAGCCTAGCAGGGTTTAGCTTCTTCAAAGAGGCAACTATGCCTGAAAATCATTTCCAATTCTGCCAAGAAAAGTTATATTGACAGTTCTCTGTAAAGGAAAAAAAAAATCAAGTTTTTAATTTGGCATGTGTCAGCTTCTTATAAGAGGCTATAAATCTTGCAGATTTAGCTCAATATTAGATTATTTTTAATGGGAATCAGGCTAAAAATTGATTTAAAAAGCCATTCTGTTCCACAGAAAAAAGCATGTGCCTTTAGGGGTTTTTCAGGTTTTAACAGGGAAGCATGGGGGTTTAGAGTTTAAAACCAAGTTTAAGATTTGAGCTTAAACTGAAGATTTGGACACTGATGTGGTCCTATCTCTAATGCAACACATTCTCAGATAACTCTAGTCAGCTGAAAAATTTGATTTCTTGCTAATATATTGTTCTGGTGACTATTTATTTTATTCAATTTTTATGGCTGCCATCTCAACAAACTGACTCTAGGTGGCTAGCAACAGTTAAAACCAACAAAGAATATTAAAAAAATAAATAAATGCACAGTCAGCAGCCATAGCGTTTTTTTTTTAAGGATAACTCAATATAACAACTTAATGGGCTCTAACTAACACTCTGA